AGCCGCTCATGCTTTGTGCTTTATCATCTGGATTGTCGGTTTCATATTTGCTTTCCTTCCCATATTTGGCATCCGGTATTTTAAAGCCCCTAATGGAGGTCATCATTACTATGGCAGATCTGTTGTATGTATTCCACTTCAGCTCTCAGACTATAAGGCACCTGGTTGGGAATATTCTGTGGCTGTATTTGTTGGTTTGAATTTGGCTTTTGTAGCCTTTGTCGTTGTGGCTTATCTTGTAATAGTTGGAAACAGATTGTGGGTCCAGGCGATGTCAGCCAATACCCAGCGAGAGACAGCTCTTGCCAAACGGGTGTTTTTCATCATCCTGACTGACTGCATCTGCTGGATGCCAGTCATTGTTATTGGACTCAGGTCCCTTGTGGAAAAGTCGTTCAGGACACCAGGAGATCTTGCCGTGTGGATCGCAGTGTTTGTTCTCCCATTCAACTCCGCCATCAATCCAATCCTATACACCTTGTCCACCACACAGGTAATTATCTCTTTAAAATTTGTTAGTTTTTGCAAAATTATCATAAACGTGAAAGATCTGCTACTTCATCTCACTTGGCACACGTTATGTACCACTCGAACATATCACCGAGATATAAATGAAAATATGGCAGTCTACACTTATCAACTCTTGAGCAATTGACGAAACCAACAAGGGAAGAGTAAGGAGAATTAAAGATTTACACCTTATAACCTTATAAGGTTCTAAACAAAATATGCTTTCAAGAATTCATTAGATGTATCACGGATTTCACATTACTTACATTGTTAGGATATTACATTACATATAGTGTTTTGGTATTAGGTAGGATTTCACCAATGATTACCCTAGTTACTAGATCAACATCCTTGAGTAAGCGTTTTAAGAAAATATTTTGTAGATTTCAAGTAATAAGAAGTCAAACATCATATCGCGGAGGGATAGAGTTCAGCTAGGAAAAAAAACCAAACTGAACACATTCTGTCACAATAAAACTTAGTGATAAAAAGTTATCTCGCATGATCTTCCACGGCTTTTGGATATTATCATTAATTTAAATCTTTAATTCAGGGTAAGAAAACTTTTCTGTCCCAAATATAGGTTCGAGATGTTCTCAAAGCAAAATGGCAACAGCTGTGCAACTATTTCATGGCAAAGTGTAGTCGAACGCAAACCGGAGAAGGTATAGGCCTCCGCTGATGTTTTGCTTTAGCTAACACTCACCAACTAAGATGGCAACTCAGTTCTATCTTACTTTTCTATTCAAGATGTGAGAGATCCGGGTCACGGTCAGGCTTTGGAGATGAGGACTTTCGGAGCTGCTGGAGGGGAAGAGGGTATGTGAACCAACAAAAGAAAGATATATTGGTTTTACTTTGTTGGCTTAAGGATCCTTTGGTTTGTTCATTCAATGCTCTATTGGATCTATACCCCAAACATTGACCTCAGTAAGCATCAGCATTGTCTTTCTCCATGCATGGGTGTTTCTAAGAAGTGGGGAAGGTAATATGCATTTACAAATGTAGTGTATGTTACACTAATACTGTTGGCCATTTTACCGATCACGTCTTAGACGATTTTACAAAATCGTTAGAAAATTTTATCGGAGAAAACCAAGAAGAGACATGAAACCGATTGAATCAGATTCTATCAGAGCCCAATTGACCATTTCATTTTTATAAAAAAAATATAATCTGCACTATTCTCTTTAATTCTAAATCACCAAACATGCTTTATAGATCGCAGGAACGAATCTTTAGAACATCGTGTCGCCCATGAACAAAGTGAGAAGCAAAATAAAGATCATAAGGAAAATAAGGAGACACGAAAGGAGCCAACAAATCCGAAATTGGAGAATGCTGAAAATGAAGATCCCGCTGAACAACTCCCAAATGATCATAATGGTATTTGAGCCTGAGGGTGGTCTTATTTGTTTCTCAAATCTCATTTACAAGCAAGCAAAAAAAATTCAACTAAGTGGACACATTTCAATATGGAGGAACAACAGTACAAATTTACAAGTTTTATCTTTGTGATCATGTTGTGTAATTCGCTTTGTCTACAAACTGATCTCACGACTGGCATTTACTAATCTCTTAAATTTGCATGTTCCACTCATGACCATACAAAAAAGCCGAGGAGGAACTTGAAAAAGACCAAGAGGAGGTCCATAAACATGATCACCCATGTCTAGAACATACTGAGCCCCAAGATACATGTAAATGGAAGCTGAACACAAAACACAGAAAGCCTGCCAAGCCAGAACAGCCTGAAACTGAGCCTACCGACTCTACCGACAAAATAACACCACACCCAAAGGAGACAGAGACTAAAGATCATAAACAGTCCCATAAAGATGTTGCAGCAAATTCTGAATATGAAGAGTTACCGACAGATTTTCAAGGGGATCAAGACCAATCTACTGATGAAGGTGAGGCTTAGGTTCCTTAAAAAAGTTAATATTTGTTTACGCTATCATTTACTCCAAATGTAGGTATTCAAATCTATTTATGCGCGCCCTTATTCATAAGGACACTAATATGGCTTATTCATAAGCCATTAATCATATTCAGTTACTTAACTACATACCATTATAAGCTGGATGTGATGGTTCATATTAATTCGTTTCTTCTTATTTGTTGTAAAGTAACGATTAACAATAAGTTTTGTAGAAGCTTATGCAAACGTATAGGGGCAAGGCGTCACAATACTAAACCTTAAAACTGTCATTCATATACTAAATGTGCCCTGAATTACCACCGGGGAGAAAATCGTTAGTGCTCCTTTATGAGGATTCGTGAAGCTTGTAAAACTAATTCAATTATTAAAGATCTAAAACGATATGAGAAATGGATAGCAATTGCATTTAAAATAGTCATAGTAAGATGTGGGATATTGTCATCAGGGTAATGCTCAGCATTCTTTTGAGGGCCAAATCTCATTGTATCCTCATTTTATCTTTTTTTCCTGAGTTCTCTCCTCCTCTTGTATGCCTCAGAAAAACCAGAGTTGAAGATTAACATACTCGCTCCAAATGGAAAAAAAAATAAAAAGACAATTGGAGCATCCTCTTGAAAACAAAATACCTCCTATTGATAAACTTTTGGGAAAAGCTAGGCCTTTTTTAATACGAAGAAGACAGAGGCAACTAATTCATCTTAAACATGCCAGTAGAAAGCTGATTAAAAGAAAAATCATGCGGCACTTTTGTTTAACATCACTGAGATAAGTTTCTTCCAGGGGAGGTTCATTTATGAAAGTTAACAGGAAACTATGTAAAATAAACCATACTGTACCTAAACAAAGCTTTATATTCAGTTCAGCGGCATCCTTCTGGGAGGAAGCATGGTTCATCAGATTGTGAATCACTTTTAAATTCATCATCATCATTTATTATTATTACATAAAAACATACATTTAAAGTCGGACCGGCCCGCATATAGCTATGCTAGTCTAGGCGGGCCAGTCCATCAATAGCTACAGTCCATCATTAGCTTATTACTATTAATATTAATAAAATAAAAAGAAAAGAAGGAAAAGAATGTGATTAAATAGATAATATTTTGCTTGTTTGTTTGTTTCTCTCTCTTCCCTTCCCCTCACTACTACTACTACTGACATTTTAATTTAGCTTAGAGATGATTTTGCGAACCTCAATGAAAGAGTCTTCATCGTCGAGTACACTTAAGTGAAGTTTGTTTTTAATTCTGAGTTTGAAGGATTTCTTTCTCCTACGCCTCTGAAATGAAACATTTTAGGAATTGAAGTCGCAATCAGTTCAATTACGCCAGCAAAAGTTTTCTCAGTAGGACCCCAGACATCCCAGGGAATTCTGTCATTTTTCCCAAAGTCCTGATAATTTTGATAACTTTGTGCCACCTTTGAGCCAATTCGGTGGTTTGAGCACCATCGCATCTTCCTTGAATACATGTGCACATACGCCTGACTTACACATGAAATGAAGTATTTCTTCGTTTTGCCGACAGAAACTAAAAGTTTGATGCCTTCCCACCATCAACAATAACAATAATGCATAGTCTAAGGTTATATAATAAATGAAAACGCCTTGATACAAGTTTTTCATATCCGTTAGTTTGGAAAATCAATCACGTTCAAAAAAGTTTTGAGAACTATAAAATATCAAACAGCTCTTCATTAAACTGAGAGAAATTACAGTGTAACGCTTACCCTGCGTCAAAAACAACGATAATGCAAGGTTGAAAGTTCATCTGTGATGCACAAATTCGGGGAGAAACTGCAGCTGGGGGACTTTTACAGATTTTGAAAATAAAATAAAATTCTTGATTAACATTGAAGGCTTGGTTTTTGTAATATCCAGTTCATTCGACGGTTCCGGTGATTCGGTTTGCGCATGCGCGTGGTCATCGCTTTAAGATGCCACGCTGTCATTTGTAGTTGACAAAGTGTTTGTTATTATTAAAACAGCCATTTTATTTAAAGAAGACTTGCGGTTGCTACTTTTGTGATTTACTTTGGTTATCTGCTTTAGCCAGAAGAGGATTTCGATATCCAACTAATGTTTAACGTTTAAATTTATTAAACTGGGCAAACATTTCATGTGGTTTGGAATTAGTAAATGCCGCGAATGTTTAATGGAGAAACTGCGTTGCAACAGTGTTTTTTTTCTTTCACTGTTTCAATAAAGACTCGCCCATTTGTCAGAGTTCATGTTTATCAAAGAACACTCAAGTGTCATAACGTACCCTTTGATTGGAACTGGTATGCTGTGGCTGGTACTACAGGAGGTAACACCCGTGGCACAGTGCACTTTTTATCTTTGAACTTTTTGCTTTATAGTTGAAATCCAGCAAGACCCAGAGAGTGATGATAGCGATGACAGTAATGACGAGTCCAAAGATCAAAGTGAGCATGAGAAAATCGTAGAGCACACCAATCATGAAGAGCCTGAGGAGAGAGATGAGACTGAAGAGGTTGAAAAAGCACAGGATAAACACGAGGATCCATCAGAGAAGAAAGACGAACCTGAAAAGCAAGAAGAAGAATCTGAAGAACAGCACGAAGATGACGTCGAAGACGAGCCTGACAAGCCATTAAGCTGGAAAAGACGAACAGTTTATCGTGAATAAGGGTATGTTTAATAACCCTCTGCTTCTTCTGAAAAATAAGAACTTTGATATATTGAGATCTTTTCACCAATTTAGAGGACTAATGGTAAACAACCTCTCATCATCATACCTTGCACAAATTGTTAGTTTCTCAAATTTCGTCACCTTGTTTTCCTTGCTAAATTACGTAAAATGGTTTATTCGAACGGTTAAAGAGTTTTTACACTACGGTACCCCACTTTG